CACTCCAGACTAAAGCAGAGTCTAGGTTTCTGCAGTTTTGTTACAGTAATTTGTAAATAGCTTCAGTTAACTCCTTTTGCATGGTAGAATAAAATGACTTACTGTACATGAATTGCAAAATAATGAGATCTGCCTATTTCTCCATTTTGAAAAGGATTCGGTTACTGACATTGGTGAGCATCCTTTGACCATAACTTTCTTGAAAGTCTTTGAGCAGACTCTTGAAATGAAGTATTAATGCTTTGGCACCCCTGAACTGTTATTTTGGCTTGCATGATTACCACTTTCAATGATGAAAGAGAAATGTTTTAATTTGGATTTTGTTCTGTCACGTTCTTAATAGAAAGTGTTTTGCAAATAAATTTTAACTTTAAGGTTCTTTTTCATGACAGCATGGTTCAGTAACAATTGTCCCCTTAAATCAGATGAAAATTTGAAGAAAAAGGGTGTCACCCATTTGACTTCTCTGCAAAAGTATTTATATATATATTATTTTTCTGCCTAACAATCAATTATTTCTTTAGAGCCCACCAAATTGGAAACCTTAAGTTGTTCTCTTTGGGTGAGTGGTAACTGTTTTCTCGTAGCTAGTTCTCAAACTGCATGAAAGATTTTAACAGTAAGAGAAATTGGACGCTGATCTGAAGGTTTCAAATATGTTGAGAAGGAAGTATGAACTAGAAGGAAACTGAGATGGAGATTTATTTGCAGGAAACATGAGGAAAATAAACCAGAAAGAAGTTGTGTGCCACACAAGCTATACAGAGAACAAGGATTTTTATGATTTGTGAAATAATGGCAGTAGTAAAATAAAAAAAGTAGTTTCACTACTAAAAATTTGTTAACATAGAGACTGCATGCTTTGCCTGTAGTTCTTCATTTTGGTTTTGACATTTTAATTTTTTCCATGTTAAATATGTAGTTTTTAAATTATTTACTGGAAATAAACACTGTTCACACTTTTAGGCCTTTGGGGGAATTGATTTTTATCCACAGGCTGAAAAGATCTTTGCGCTGCATTCACTTAGACCACACACGTGTTTCTCAACTTCTGCATTAGTCTTTACAATTACCCTCAAAATGGTAAAAAGCACCCTCTCGTATTCCATTTTTGCTTTTTCTTAACAATAATTTTGGCCATTTTTCCCCAATTTGCTCTACCTCGTGTACTAACTTTTCTCCGGCCTTTTAATACCAAGCACACTGTTACAGCATGCTCTCAGCGTCTGACCGCTCCGCGAGCACAATGAGTAGTTACGAGTATTATTAATACCACCCTGTCCCAGTCCAGTGCGTCTAATCTGACTAGCAGCTCGCTTTGCCTTCTCACATGCTCACTAGCCATCATGCTCACCCTTCTTTTCCAGATCCACTTCCTCATGATACTGTCTTCTAACTGGGCTTACTTAAAGGATGCGAGCAAAATGCAGGCTTACCAGGATATCAAAGCAAAGGAAGAACAGGAACTGCAAGATATCCAGTCTCGGTCAAAAGAACAACTCAATTCTTATACATAAATGTTTGCCAGAGTATTTCAGCCGACGAATTTACAGCTCTGACAAATCATCAGACAGCTGCTCTGCAGTACAGATGTGTACCCCACCAAACAAACTAATGTAGATGTATCAACATTTCACTGTCTGTCTCAAGCTGCTGGGATGTATCTCTAGGAAAATCTTCCAGTGGGTAAATCTTTTTCTTTAGGACAAGTATTGGAGGTTTCACATCAGCCATTTTAAAAGGCAACACTTTGACAAAAGATTGTTCATTCTTTTGAAATTTGTGGCATGTGCATACTTACTGCTAGAGTGAATCTACCAAGGTAGGTGATGGGAATATGTCACACTCCTTGGTAGGGACTGGTGACATGCCATCATCTAGGGATGCAACCATAAATTTACATATGCCATCCGTCCCCAAATAAACGTTATCTATATAGGAAATAAAATGGAATTGGTATGAAGTTCCATTTCTGACAGCTGACATTTATCAAACTTCGATGCATCAAAGATAATGTGATTCTTACAACGGACTTTAAAAACATTAGCACCCCCCAAATCTAGACCCATTAGTTTCTTAAAACCATTTAAAGCTATTTTAAAACCATTAAAGCTATTTTTCAGTAATGCTAAAATGAGCTACAACTCTGCTGAACTTACCACTGAAGAAGCAGGGCTCTGAATCATTAAGCTTTCCAGAATCAATTTTATAATAGACTTCATTTTAATAAAATACTGATCCAGTTACTATCATTCTTCTCTAGAAGTAAATGTCAGCTCTGCCTTAACGAGTATTTGGTTTAAATTTCTAAGAATTTGTATAATGGGCACCCCAAAATCGTCCACAGAATTTTGTTCCAGAAGTATTTTTAAGTGAGAAGTGTTACCTTATTAAAATGACCACCATTCTAAAGCATTTGTAAGTGGTCTGAATAGTGAGTTTACAGTTTCATACCAACTATCTAAAACCTAACAACAAATTGACCGCAGACCTCTAACCTCCTGCTTTTATAGACTTGAATACATAAGTAAATTAGGGCTGATATTTATTTCATTTTTTTCTTATCTAAAACTTAAGTTTCCTGGAGTAATGTTTGATGTTCAGCAAGAAAACTGCTTGAGTTTAAGCCATTTTCAAAAGAAACTTGCCTTCTAAATCATTGTGTTCCCGAACATTAAGTGACTATAGGGACTGGGTATTAGTGATGGTACACTTTGTGTTTTTCTTTTTGAAATGATCCATATAACTGTTGGGTGCATCAGTGCTTTTCAAAGGGGCTGCATACTATAGGGTTAACTATGTATATTCATGTTAAGAGTTAACTTGTGGTTTGGCTGTTTCCTGGATTTTAAAACATATACATGTGCAAAAATGTATTCAAATGAAAGGAAGCATACCTTTATCAAGATACTATTAAAATTGAACATCAAGTATAATATTTCATTTGGATTCTTTTTTTAGTTATGCCTAAAAATGCCTACTCGGATTTGTTTTCTTACTTTGGAGAAGCTCTCTTCTGTGTAGAACAGGTGTTCTAAAGTAGCATAGCGTTTTGTTTTCCTGTTGCATGACGAACTTAAATATTCTTTCCAGCAGTGGAGGTGCTGTTAAGAGTCCAGTGTTCTAGAAGAGGCAGTGTCTAAAGCCTAATTTTACTTTTCTAATTCTGGTAGCTATTACCAGGAACTTTTGAAAGTTTTGTTGACGTAGTCTAATATTTTTTATGTAAAGAGCATTAAATTTTGCTATGTATAAATTTTTGTAACCTAACAGTGAATCAATATTTTCTATCAGTGCCAAGGGCTTCCTGTAGTTCTATTCAAGTGTTACAATAAATATTTGTAGATAATAGTCAATACTTGTGTATGCTTATTTTAAAGATCTATTTAGGTGGAAATAGTTGTGGATGTACTAACAGTAATGAAATAAAATTATAGCTTCATTCGTTTGCCTTTTTACCATACATAAATCCTATCTTTCTCTGGCCTCAGCATGGTGTCCTTTTTAAATATGCACAATCAATATTTCACATTTGCGTAGCAATCTAATCTATAAGAGCTAGATGTTTTATTTCTAACAGAAATCTCTCTTCAGCAAGAACAATTTGCGAAAATATTGTAACCCACTGAGCTATACTTTAAGTGAAACCGAGCATTTCATTGATGTTTGAAAAATGCAGGATTTTTCTGCCTAGCTTCTCCAATAAACAAAGGTCATCTACCTGCACAGTTAACACAAGGCTTAATCTGTGGTGAAGTGGAAACAAAGGGGAGCCTTACTAGGGGCCATGGATCACTGGCTAATTTTTGTTTTGTTTTTTTACTGGCTAATTTTTGAACTAAAATATGTAAGAGCCCAGTGAAAGATTTATGCAGGAATACAACAGTAACTAGCAGAGCTAAATTTGTTATGTGGGATTTCATTTTCTAATGTTTTAAAACTACTTATCTGTTGGTCTAATTATGCATTTGGATTTGCTACATCTGAACTTTCTTAGTGAGGACCAGCCTTTGTCACTATTGACACGGTGACATTTCTAAATGAGGTGCTGACCCTGGATCATTGCCCTTCACTTACACATGGCGGAGAAGCAGGAGCCCAATTAGCCTGCTGTTTGTCAACCACTGCTTACTACCTTCTGTTTACGCAGTATCCTGTGTAATTATGTAGGTCACATGAATAAAGTGTAAGTGACAGTTTGATAAGATCACAAGCAGTCTCTTAACTGCTGACAGTAATCTTGCGAGGAAAGTTAGGAGCCTCTGGAAGGCAGACATTTTTTTCCCAGTCATGCCTTATAAAACTTAAGTTTCAGAAGATGAAAATGAAGTCAGAGCTAGAACGAAGAAGCCTACTTGTTTAAAAACAATACTTTAAACCCACTCACTAAAAAGGAACACCAAAGATTCCACAATAAAGATGCTGTCTCGGTCTACTCTTGCTGCTGTAAGAAAGTACTTTAGACTGGGTAATTCATAAAGCAAAGTATTTCTTATTATTTTGGAGGCTGTGAAGTCCAAGATCAGGGTACTGCCAAGTTCAGTGAGGATTGGGTCTTGGCCTCCAAGATAGCGCCTTGAAGACTGAGTTGTCACTGTCACCTCAGGGTTTAAATTCCAACACAGGAATTTTGGAGGGACACATACATTTACACCATGGCTGATGCCAAAAGTACTACTTCTAGAGTCTAGAATGAAAAGTCTGTCTACGTGCAGGGGGAAATAAGGTGCTGGGGAAGATGGGCCCTTGTTTTACTGGTAGTAGCCTCACTCCGGAGAAGAGGGGCACACACCTCTTACATTTTCAGAATGTAGGCCTGGAGTCTGACCAGTAAGATAAGTTTTCAAATAAGCATAACCTAAGACGGAAAAAATGGGCAGAAAAAAAAATATTCATTGGAATGTAATGAATGAGAAATTCTACAGCTGAAGGAAAGGTTTCACTTGACTATTCTTGGTTCATATGGTACAGTACAAAATAAAATGACATAAAAACCACACTGGACTGTACAATTTTTATTGGGAATTTTGTCTGATTACAGAGAAATGTTTGAAAGGACTGGATCTTGGGTAACTTCATTGCTGTAAGAAGCTGGACAGCTAGTATAATCACCAAGTGTCATCTGGTTCTTCATGGGAAAACCCTGCACAACTAAATTAGACAAAAATGAGAAATTTTAAAAATTCATGTGAAGTATGAGATCTTCATAATGTTCTCACTTCTCCCCGGTGGGGGTCTCTGTACTCACATCTATTTGTATCAGGATCAATTTCACAGAAGTTAAAAATCACAGTAGATTGTTTTTTAAAGTCAGTACTTTTGACTGACTGAACAGTTTTTCTTTTTCTTTTTTCGTCTTTTTTGAGACAGGGTCTCGCTATGAAGTTCAGGCCGGCCTTGAGCTCACTATGTAGCCCAGGCTGGTCTGGAACTCACCACACTCCTGCCTCAGCCTCCGGAGTGCTGGGATTACAGGCATGCGCCACCACGCCCGGCCTGACGGAACAGTTTCTGAAAGCCACCCTCCAACACCTGACTGTTTCCCTCAGCTGACAACAGGAGCACCGATGGCTGTCTAAGGAGCAGTTTAGGGAAAGCGTACCTTTCATCCTGGTCATCAGATGGCGGTGTATCCACTTGGGAGCTCTCTGGGAGCGTCTTTTTGGGGCTCTGACAAAGGGTGAGGGAGGGGATTGGCAGTTAGACATGAGTTACTTTTATTAACCGCTGATTAATCTAGGAACTACTTTTGAAATACATACGTAATACGAGTCTCAAGAAGAACTTTTTAGTGTGAAATTCCCCAAGCACGTCAAAATATAGTATATATTTTGACACCAATAATTCAGACTTATTCTCTCACAATGCACTTGTTATTCAGTGACAGAGTTCTTGCTTGTTCTTAATGAGAAACACCTGAAACTATACAAGCTCTGACACACCAAAAGCTCTTCAAACTTCTGCCTGGGCAAAGTGTGTTGAGATTTTGTTGAGAGAGCACAATATATTTTAAGATTCAGTGCTCCCTCTAAACTATGTGTTTTCCATGCTTTTAAACCTTTCTGTCTTCCGTAGAGGACAGATGCCTGCTCGCAGGTGACTCACAGAAGCGCCGGACAACCCTCCCACCCCCAGAGCACAGGCCTAAGCACAGACAGGCACCTGCTCTGCTGCCTGTTGCTTTTTCCTTTGCTGGACGAGTTGCATGTATTTCTCTAAAGGATTTTCACTGGCAGCTGATACTTCTTTCACTTTTTCATTACTCGTTTCTAATTCCTTTTCCATCTCAATCTTCAGTGATTCTTCAATCAACCTCTATTAAAGAGATGGGTGCCAAAATAGGAAATACACAAATTTTGTTTTAAAAGGCTCTTCAGTCTGTATCAAATACACAGTAATATATATAATCCTGACCCTTTAGGTACAAACTGAATGCTGGAGAACCATAGATTTCAACTGAAGTCATTGCCACTATTAAAGGGAGGCCAACTTGAGATCTCAAAGAAGGAGGGCATTCATTTGCTTCTAGAACATTAATATGGAAGATTGAGCAAGACCTGACCAGTAGGTTAAGTGGCCAGAGTAGTCCCGTCTGTCTAGGACCACAGCCCGGCTAGAGAAGCAGAATGAGAACTTCTGGGAGCAGGAAGGCAGTGTGTGTCCCTGGAAGCAGCAGTGGACTGGAGGCCACCTCCACACCTGGCTGTTCTAGTCCCAGCTGGCTGACCTTGGGAGATTGTTCATTAAACCCCACTTACAAAGGGATGTTCCACACCAAAGCATGGTCTCCCTCCCTCCTTGGTGGGCTTGTTTTAAGGACCAAAAGAGCCCATGCAGAAGCACTTTCGCAAATTGTCTTCTACCATGACCCTCACAAGGTGTGTGACCCTCAGAGGACGTGCACTCTGCAGCCTTTCTCACTGTAGTATGAGCACTTGAGGCCAGGGATGCCTTTCTGGTCACCCGCCACTCCTCCGGGTTCAGGACACTACTGCTCACCACCCTGAGCTCACGGTGCCTTCCGGGGGCAGCCAATGGAGGAACGAGTGAGCGGCTCGCCACGAGGCGCTTACCCTTTCCTGATCCAGTTTCCCCATCTCTCTGCATTCCCTTTCCAGAGCCTCCCTCAAGCCGCTCTGTGTTTGTTCTTCCTTCTGCTTTTGTTCTTTAACATGCTGCTCCCACATGCTTTCTTCTTCCGTATGTTCTCCACTCTTTTTCTGATCTGCACCTAACAGGAAGGAAAATAGACAGTGAGGTGCTTCCAGCACCCAGCTTTCCACACGATGCAGGGCCACTTTGCAGGAGGCTCCCCTCGACCTGTCCCCGACTCCGCGGACACGGTTCAAGCCCCCAAGCCCACCCCAGCGGCCTATCTCACCTTTGACTTTCCCGAGATGGAAACGTGGCACCTTCCCCACCAAAGCCGCCAACTGTCCTTCCTTCTCGCCATGCTTCCTCATCCTCTCCGGCCACGCCCGCCCTCCTTCATCCACCCACTGAAATCCCGCATTCCATGCCCACCTGCCGCATCTTGAGGACCCCGGCAGAGCTACTGGTCTCTATTCACTTACACAGCAGTTTATAGCCCTTTTTCCCCTCCCACAAAGATGCTCAAGTCTCCTACCCAAAAAGAAGAGAACAAAGCCTCCAACATCCTCCAGAACCCTAGCCATGTCACTGCTCATTCCCTGCTGCTTTCCTACTGATGCTGGCTCTGCCTGGGGTTTTAGTGATCGCTGGGCACCAGCCACTGCCACATCTATTTCTCTGGTCCCAAACTCTCACCCTAGCCTTAAATCCGTGTTTCTAATGAGTTCCCTGCCATCGGTACATAGAAATTCCACACCACTGGCTTCATTCCTAAAATTACGTCAGTCCTTTAATCATGCTCTTTCTAGGGTGGGCATGACACAGACCTGCAGTCCCAGCTACTCAGGAGGCTCAGGCAGGGGGCACTCATGAGCCCATGAATTCCAGGGTAGCTTGGGCAAAAAACCTAAACAATACAAACCTCCTCCCCATTCTCTCCTTTGTCCATTAGGCCACGAGGGCTTGCAGATTCAACCTTCCCGTCCTGCCTTATCAGGCTTTCCCTGGAGCGCTGAAAACTGAGCCAATGCCCTTCCTGACGTAGGGCTCTGCCTTCCAGCACCCATCGGCACCAGCCCTCAGCACTTCCCGCAAGGCAGACATGGGTTTGCAGTCCGGTGTTTCTGCTGGGGCTGAGCCCAAACCCACAGCAGTGTGGGACCTGAGCCTGCCTCCTCCCAGGCTGATCAACCACAGTGCACAGTGCCCTGCCCTTTGCCCCAGAACCAGCCCACACATCCCAGGTCACTCTGGTCCTTGCCTGCAGCTCGAGCCCACTCTGTCCCTTAGCCTTCTCTGCCTCCTTACCCTGGAGGCACCCTTGCTCCTGCCTCTGGCACAAAACTGGCCATGACACTAGAGACTGGACTCACACTCCCATCCCTTGAAGGACAAGTACTCCAACAGCTGACCTGCACAGCTATCTTGTCCCTGCTTTGTCACCAACCTCAGGTACTTGTCTCTTCCACTTCTATCGCTCTGGGCAAGGCCCATGTTTTAATTACTTGACTACTCCTTCTCACTCTTGGCACAGGGCCCTATGCTCCAAGCTTTAACTAAATTTCACCAAAGATGATTAAACTGGGCTTTCTTCTTTCAGCTCTGCCCCATAACCTACTTCTTTAAAAAATCTGAGCAATGTGAATGAGCAGAAAAGCCCAGTTTCACTAGAGGACTTCCATGCTTTCCGCTGTGCCTTCTCTTGAGTCGGTGGGAGGAACAGAGCTCGTTTTGCTACTAGGAGAGAGGACCCAGTCTCCTCTCTCCCCAACTTTGTCATGAAATTAAAATTCCAGGGGAGGCTGAGTCATTTCTGCAGGCGGAACTAAAGCGGCCTCCTTGCTGGTGGAGAAGGGTTCTACCCAAACAGTATTGCTTTTTTTAAGGGAACAGCAATCGCAAAACAGGAAGGCTGTTTGAGGTCAATTTTAAAAGGGAGGGGCCTGCTCCGGTGCTCTAGAGGGGTACCGTATGTTGCACCAGTGGGCTGGTACACAGAAGTTCCTTGGGACACAAGAGCCAAGGTAAGTCTGTCCACTAGTACCTCAAAGACACCATGTTCTGGCCTTTCATTTTCCTTCTGTGTCCAGAGGAAGATGTGGATCGATAAAGAGAATTTTCTCAAGGACCAAAGCATAATAGGGCTGCGTATTAATTATCTCAACAGCCATCACCATCATCTACATTACCGTTCACGGGGCCACACCTCCTGCTGTGCAATTTTGAGTCCCCTCCCTCAGGCTGTGCCCATAGCCACTGCCCCTCAGCTGGGGTAGCAGCTCCATCCTGGGGCCTTGGTGAGGCTCCCTGCATCAGACACTCTAAATAGCAGCTTAGTTTGGTTTCCTGCTGAATGCCTGGCCCCTAGGAGAGCAGCCCCCAGAGAGAAGGTTCTCGATCAAGTCTGGCTGATGGGGGTGCTTTCCAAAGCAGATTTCCTGTGGAATTCGAAAAAGTAACCCCATGCTGTCAAAATCCATGGCTTCTTTCAGCAATTCCTCATGTTCCTAAGTGCTGTGGCTGAAACCAACAAACTGCTACTAAGAGCCGCTGAGCATGTGTAGGGCATGACGCTGTCCCCATGTGTGGGAGGGATCGGCAGCCACTTCTTCACGTGAAGGCTCTGGTCTCAGGAACAAAGGACATGGCTGTTGGTGGAGGCCATGTGTCCTGTAAGCTCGGCTCCCCGTGGAGGAACCAAGAACAAAAATGCATGGGCTACGCAGGGAAAGTCCGGTAACTAGTTTGCTTTCAGTGACAAGTGAGTGGAGTGTTGTCAGCTTTTGGGAAGACTGAAATATAAAGTGTTGGTCCTAATTTCTTAAGACATAAGAGAAGAACACAGAAAGAATATGAAAATGTTGCAATCACAGTAAAGCTATGGAAGAGGAACTGACTGTTACTGAAGTTTCTCACCATAATTTGCCAAGACAATAAGGTGCCTATGGATTGGCTTCTGCCCAAGTCTCAGGCGGGCTGTCAGGTTCTGAATAGTTACAGACAAAAACTTTTAGAAAGCTACTTTCCCAGAACACTACACAAGAAGCCTGTCCTCACGAGTTTCTCCAAGCACCGTCTTTATGCGCTCACATGCGCAGGTACTTCAGAAAGGTCATTAACTCTGACAATACTCCAACACCAAGTCTCTGGATAATTTATGCTTTTAAGAAGCCCATCGATCCAGAAATAATTTCTAGAGCACACAGACCAGCATTCAGTCCGGGGCTCTGCCAGCTGCTGGAATACAGAAACGCACACTTACTTTGGCTGGGATACGGGGTGGGGATGGCGAGTACGGTGGCTGCGGCAGTATCCATGTGAGGCATGTCACCTGCAGGGAGGAGCCCATCTGCTTTGAACTGCCTCGGCCAATTCCCTGCATCTGCCAGGGAGTAAACAACATGGCCATGAGTGCTCACGACACAGCAGGGAAGGCGGGGCAGTGGGGGAGGCCCTCACTGTGAAGCACAGAACTCCAGCTAAAGCCACCAGGCGCCCTCTCCTCTGCAATGCCATGAGTGTGCCAACCCCTCGCTAGCACTGTCACGTCTCCACGTGCTGCTGGTGGTGCTGGGGATGGAACCCAGTCAAAGTGTTTTTATACTGTCCTGGGACAGTCACGCATGTACCACTGGTGGTTCAGGCCAGCGGAAATGTGACATGTTCCAGTCAGAGCTATTCAGCAGCGAGACACACCAATGAATGGCCCCACCATGAATGTGTGAAAGGACCAAATCTGTTTACCAAATTGGATTGTTACCCGCCAGGAAAAAATATCAGTCCAACAACAGAAGAATTCACTTGGCTTACTAATAATTCATTTGAATTCAATTTAAATGTCAATGATTCAACACATTCCGTTTAACTGGTGGGTTAAAAAGATTTCATAAAATTTACAAGCTCTCTCATTTAATTGTCCAAAATATGATAAGTGATACTTTTAGATTTGTCAAGTAAGTTTATAAGGCTAAAGAATTATATTCAAAAATTTCTCAGCCAGTCACAATGCTTCATGCCTGTAATCCCAGCTCAAGAGGCTGAGGCAGGAGGGTCATCAGCTTGAGGCCAGCCTGGGAACTTAGCAAGAATCTATCTCAAAAAAAAAAGAGCTGAGGGTACAGCTCAGTGCTCCCTGGGTTTAATTCCCAGCACCATAAAAACAAAATAAAACAAAGATTTCTCAACCTGGAAAGAGCCTCAGACAACGGACCCCGCATCCTTATTTCACACTTACGAAGTAGGGGATAGGGTGAGACATTCCAGGGTAGGGCCAGAGGCAGGACAGCAGGTTCTGGACTCTGATTTTTGGATTCTGTCACTTCCATTGTTCCACTGAGGATAGGGTTTTCTAAATCTGAGCAATCAACAGGATGAGTGTAGTTTAAGGAAAATAATACCTTCATATTCCATAAAAAGGAAAAATAAAGAAAAATTACTTATTTTAAATCCCAGGTAATCACAAACATGGTAAACCAGGAATTATCTAAGAGCTTAGCTGTAACTGTGAAGTTATGAGTCATCCTGGTATTTTATAAAGGGTTCTCAGATACACCCCTGAAAATCTTTGTGACAGAAAAATGAGGAAATATACTCTATTTGTGCTCTTATCACAAATGTCCCAATTTGTAACAGCTTTGCTTATATTAATGGCTATACTGCATTTCACCAAAACTAAGCTTTCTGTATTTTCAACTTATCAAAATTAGTACTTATAGTTCAGTTTACCTGAAAAAGATGGTTCAAGCGTTTCTTTATCTTTAAAGGCTGGTTTGTCCAGATTTGAAAACTCACTTCTGTCCTCAACTTCCATTAGTTTCTCAATAATGCTAGATTGGGAGAATAATAGTCATATGAGTAAGGAGTCTTAAGACAGTAAAACCCAAGAGCAGAGCGTGGCAAAAAGCCTTTTTTGGCTCAAGAAAATGATCTAGAAAACTCTTTTTTCTTTGGCTTATAGAGAACAGGCACAGTACACCAAACGGTCGCCAGGCAGCAGGCACGATGTCAGCAGTTAATAGGTGTTGACTCAGCTAGTCCTGCTCCACCTCGCGCCCTGTGCAGATGCCGCTTCTGTCAGCAAGAAGGTTGGACTCTCTCCTGATGCTATTCCTAAGGGCTTAGTTTTCCAATAACCACACAACAGTTTTGAAAAAGATAAATTCCGCACACCATCAGCACAAACTGGCTGAGGACACACTATCTCAAGCCTGAGTGTACATCAAAGTGCGTGAACCTGTTGTACGTGTGGGTCTTGTTTTACCTTTTGGCTTATCATACAGGAAAGTACAATATAAAAAAATTAAATGCCCTAGGACTGTGAGAGGCACATGGCAGTTTTCAACTCTGTACACAGCCAGGTAAACCTCAGTTTCCCAGGCTCAAGCCCTGACCTAAGGAGTCAGAATTTCCTGCCACAGGGACCAGGCATGGGCGCAAGTCCTGCCTATCAATCACAGCCCAGGGGACCCACTGATCTAGTTTCTAAAGACATCCACTCCTTCCTGCTTCAACAGCCATACCCTGGAGCCCACTCTCACTTAGAATTTGTTTCAATAACATACAAGTTGGAACCATATCTGTTTGTATTTAAATGTCAAAACATTTTTAAAAATGACTTTTAATGATGTATGAAATTGTTCCAACTCTAAAAATGAGCTCAATTTATTTGCTTTTGACAAATTTTACACATTTGTTTACCTCAGACTCTATTTGCAAACCTATGAAGGGGTTTATTAGTATATCACATTCCCCAGGTATGCAGATGATTCACAAAGGTTACGCATGATTTTATACTCTGATTGCAAACTCTATACTGCCACATGATCTTTACTACACCTAAAATTCCGAAGGAGTACAGACTGAGACAGCAGGTGACAAGACACAACTGAAGCCAATCAGAAACCGGTACTTACACGGCCTCCTGCTCTGGAGAGCTAGAAAGTGACTGGACAGAGAGGCTGTGCCTTGACTCAGCAGGTGATGGCTGGGGCATTTTGTCAGGACAAGGATTGGGGGACATAACATGTGACCTGCCCAGACCTAAGCGACAGAAGAAACGAGGGTAAGGATATCATGAACTACATAAAGAAGATACTAATATGGTTTTGGAAAAGCTCTATTAGTTTTCAAACACATTTTGTTATCCTTGCCAATAGCCAAATGTGATGTCTGAGATTCACAGAGATAACTAAGGTCTGGAGGTAATGCTAAAATGTGCGGCACTAACCAGCAGCACGAGCAAGGCCCCTGGGGCTCCCTCAGCACCTCTCGGGCTGAGCAAACACGAGCCCTCGACACCCTCGAGGCCCCTGCCTCCAGAGTGACCTGTGACGTGGAGCAACACCACTGCTGGCCGGGAGACGGCGGGGTCAGAGTGCCACCACGGCTGCCGGAGCCACAGCTCTGGCTCTGTGCGCCCCTTCTGTTGCCTCGGGCTGCACTCCATTCAAGTCAGAGGTACAAGGATGTGCGCTACTCACCGCCAGTGTCCTACAACCTCTACGCGGTGGCTCACCTTCCAGATACAGCTCATTGTTGAGGCTTCTTCTGGCTTTGGGAAGCGGTGTGGAGGACAGGCGTCTAGAGGAAGTGCACCTGCATGGCCGTGAGGTCGCGCTGCCCGACGTGGCTTCCACGGCGGTGTCATTCTTCTCCTCACTAACTGTACACACTTGAGGCTTCTCAATAACAATTCTGTCCTCTGTGAAAATGCATCTTCCTAGGGAAGTGGAACTGCTGCTTTTGAAAGCTCCAAGCAAGTGCAAAGACAGCTGATTCTTTGGCAGGGCTGGGCTTTTAGCAGGGTTTTGAGTGACTCTTTGATGGTAACTTTTGAAAGCCTTTTCCAAGCGTTCAGCCTCTTGCTCCAGCTCTCTCACCTTGACCTTGGTATTGGCAACAAACTCAAGGTCCAAATCCAGAGAGCTGCCCTCCCTCCCCTCATTCGGGTAACCTGGGCTCTTTGGCATGGCCTCTAGTCCCAGGGGGCTGTTCAGGATGCCCCTGTGTCCATCCCCGTTGTGAGGCACTATCGGGCCGCTCAACAAGCTATTCACACACTGATGGCTCAGAGACGGCTTGGGGTTGCGGTATACTTCATTCTCTAGGGCTGCAGGTTACAAAAACACATTTTGACAAATAAGGAGAGAAGGTGGTGAACAATACTTAAAACTTAATATTCTTTTGAAATGAAAGGAGGGGCCGAGCATATAGCTCAGTGCCATAGCGCCTGCCTGGCAAGCACAAGGTCCTGAGTTCTATTTCCAGTACCAAAAAGAAAAAGAAAATTAAAGGAAAGAGCAAAAACTTACACGTTAAACAGGTTCTGAAATCACAGTAACTACTATTAACATTTACTGAGAACTTGTCTGCATCGGCTACAGTTTCAGACCTGTCTTCCTTTATAATACATGACACAATTGCATAATCCATTATGTGTGACTTTGAAATCTCAAAAGCTGTAAGTGAGCATTTATTTGCCAAGCAGTGGCAAAGTCTAACCAGGTTTGAGCTCGTTTGGTTGAAAAGCTTGACCTGAACTGACATAAAGCCATTTATAATCACTGTTTATGCCAACCAGCATGACTATTCACACATCTGACTGCAAAGTGATTAATTAATAGGCTTCCTTCACTACAGGATGCAGCTCCAGGATTCCCAGGGCTGTTGGGAAGTCCACAGTATATGGTCCATGTTTCTAATAAGGGAGAGAGGACTTGCATTCACAGCAACACTGGGGCCAGGACTCTATCACTGGTCCCATTTTACAGATGGTGACGGTGGTACACTGAGGCACAGCTACCCAGCTAGCAGGTCCCACAGCAGCTGGGATCTCCTCTGCAAAGGCAGTGCCCGGTCGGCTCGCCACCTGCGCTGCTACACAGTGGAAGCAGAAGCCACAGGGTTCTGTCTTCACGGAATGACTGCCATGACATAGGAGTGCTGTGATTTCAGCCGTGGGCAGGCTGGCAACCAGGGTAGCTGAGAGAAAACTAAGAATGGGAAAGAGCAGAAATGAGGAGAGAGGGGTAAAACCAGTGCAGGGCAAAGGAACAAGGGGCTGAGGAGGAGAGAGTGAAGTGGGAACCAAGGCAGGTACAGGGTGAAGGATGCGTGAAACTGCTAATGCACACATGCCTGGGTTTGAAAGCAACTGAAGAATGAAGTATCTAAGTTTGAAGAATGAAGCAACTAAGAATGAAGAATGAAGTATCTAAGTTTCCATACCCTTCTTATGAAGCAGGAAGGGGAAGATTAGCACCCTACTTCACTGGGTGATGAAACTGCAGCAGTAACTGTTCCTTAAGTGCCTGTTACAGCCCCAGAGCGAGATGGGACCCATCCATCTCTGTTCAGTAGGTACACTGACACAGTCAGTATTGTGATCCCCACTGCACATGAGGAAATGGAGCCCCAGGGCAGTTAAAGTATTCTACCCAAGGCAAAACAATTAACTTCAAAATCAGGGTGCAAAAAGAAACAGTTCTCTTGCTGGGTGTGATAGCACATGCCTATAACCCCAGCACTCAGGAGGCTGAGGCAGGAGCGTCATAGTGACATGGAGGCCAGCCTGAACTATATAGCAAGACCCTATCTTAAAAAACAAACAAAGAAGCAAAACAAAAGAAAAAAACAATGGTTCTTTGACTTGGACAGCAATGTTCTTTTTTGCTAAACCACCTGCTTCTCTCATAGATTTCTATATCTGTCTGTTAAGGAATATGAAAAACTATTGAGTAGCCAGTGTCTCGCCATCAGGGTAATAAAAGAAAGAAGAAAAGTAAGGATGAATTGGAGAATGTCTGTGTCACCACCACACCCATCGTATCTGGGACACCTGTGAAGGCAATTCATGTAGACGATGACCAGCTGGCATTCCTGAGCTAGAAAGGAAGTTTTACTTCTAGGATGACACATACATGTATGGCTTTCCTTCTAATACAAGAGTTGCTAAGTGGCCAATAGATTACAGTCATTACCTTTCCACAGGTGTCAGAAGCATTACACACACACACACACACACACACACACACACACACACACACAGATATTTATAGGTTAAAAATGTCACTCACCTGTCTGAGTTTGTTTCAGCTGCAATTTTAAATCAGCAACCTGAACCTTTAACCTCTTTACAGAAGACTCATAATCCAATAGCTGGGCCTTTAGCTGTGTAGAATGTTCAATCTGAAAAGATGCAGAAAAGAAAAACAAATCAGTGTAAAACAAATCATAGCCTGCATCAAGGTGCAACTATCTCATTGTGCTTATCTTCTTTTCTGTCTTGCCAGTTCTGAGAAGCTTTATATCAGTAATCAATGGATCTCTATTTAAAATAACAAGAAACGGAACACACAGACAAACTTTTCACTACCTTTTCCATATCGCACAATAGCTACTTTGGGCATGCAGGCAGAAATCAGAAAGGCACAGTCAATATTTGCAAGTCTCAAGGAGCAGCAAAGAATAACATGGGCACTATCGGGCACTCACAAAATTGTCTGTTTAGATGAGTTTGCTTTCCTTTCAATTTTACTACTATTATGAATATAAAGTCAAATAATCACTACAGAATTTTCTCAGATCAGAAAAGATCCTTTAGCACACTTAGGGGAGTCACTTTTGATGTTAAAATAGACATGATTTGTGCTGGTGTGACTTGTGCCAAGTCTGCACAGCTACAGGTGGCCTGGCATAATGTGGGCGTGAGTACAGAGCAATACTCACTTCACTTTGCAGTTGCTTTTGCAGAACTTGCCTTTGAGTTTCAAACTCCGCATGCTCAAACGCAATCATATCTTGCGCTTTCTTTAATTCTTTCTGAAAAACTAGAAGTTCAGGAGCCGGCTGGGCCATGCCTAAGAAGGCAGAACAAAGATCCTGGTTACTGCCAACCTTCAGTTTGCTTATATTATTTAACGAAAGCAGCTAAATAGTTTAATAGTTTTCTTTCTTTGAACTCCTGCAATTAATATTCTATCAATTCTAACTGGACTAAAAGCAATCTGATTCATAAGTTTCAGGACTAACGAATTTAATGCATATTAATGCACTCCTTGCTACTCTTGAGTGCTACTCCAAGGAAAAGAATTCTTTCAAATCCACAAATTACCTCCAAGTTTCTCTCTCTACCCTACCATGCACAGAAGGCCTAGAAGGCGCTCTCTTGCCATCTCCCTGTGGGTAGCTTTCCTCAGGTCTCATCCAATCTGAGACATGTCAGTAACAGGCAGAGAGTGGTAATGCCCTCAATTTGGGTCACCTGAGGACCCTTTAATAAAGGGCACTGTATGTAGGGTAACTACAAAGGACTAAATCATTTCCTGGGCTAGAAATGAAGCCAGGATATGAGAAGCACTTAGGCCTGGCAGGAGAAGGGAGGGAAATATTCCCCAAAGTGAGGAAACTGCGTGAGCACAGTGCAGAGCGCTGGTGACAGGCCATCAGCAGGTACTATGGCCTCAGTTGGCTGACAGGGACAGCGGTCCAGGCTGCTGCACATGGAAGCAGAGTGACAGTGAGGTGATAACCATCTCAACCTCCTCTCCCTGCCTCCTTCCAAGTGCTTGCTGGAGTCACTCGTGGCCAAACCCCAGTAGGGGTCCGAGGGCAAAGTGAGCCAATACTACCCATGGAGCAGCACAGCTTGAAGGCGGGCCTTCTTCCAGTGACACTGTTACTAATGCAAAACAAACAATTCCAGTGCAAGAATCTTAAGCCTCACTCACAAGTATAAAGCACAGTTTTAACGATAACTTAATACAAGTAATGAAAACATTCACATTAGAAGAAAAAAGGACACACGGTTTAGGAGACACAAGTTTTCATTTTTACTGTCTTCCAGTTGTAGTTTAAGTAACTTATTTTGTGCCTGAAGCTCCAGTCTCTCTTCCTTCAGTTGTGAATAATCGCTCATCTCTTTAACCTTTTCATTCAGCAAGTGGTTTTGTTTGGTGGTTGTCACAAACTCTGCTTTCATGGACTCTAACTCGAGCTGAAAGTGAGAGAAAAAATTCCATGTGGATCATGACTTCGTAGCACTGCAGACGTGAAAGCTGGGGGTTGCTTTAAGCTGAGCAGCAACTTCATGATGGTTGCTGGACAGAGGTCCGGTTCTCTGCAACCACAGAGTTTAACTACCGTACATGAGGAAAGTCATCTGCACTGGAAATGGGCAGGGGACACTCGTAACCTGCATCTGCAGACCCCATCCTATGAAGTGAGTTCTTCTGACAAAAGTCATACAGTTTTCTTTTTTTTTTTTTTTTTTTTTTTTAGTTTTCTTTTCCCTCCTGGGACTTTTTTTTTTTTTTTTTTTTTTTTTTGGTTTTGGTTTTTCTCCGGTACCGGGAACCGAAGTCATACAGTTTTCAAACGCAAGCAGGACCCAGTAACAGTCCCATACTGTGGCAATACATTTTTAAAGTAGGAAAAAGTGAGACAGACACAATCCCTAAACTTGCTGTGAAGTGCTTTTTTTTTCTTAGTATATCTCATATTTGGATACAGAGGCCTACAAGGTTCTCAAATAAACCATCATGGTTGAAAATGTAAATTTTATTTACAGATACACATCCTCAGTACTTAAAAGTTCTGGCTCTATTCTTGAGAAAGCAAGCACACGAATGAGCAAAAGTAATAACAACATGTGAAAAGCGTGTCTCATTTTGTTTTAATTTGTAAGATAGTGATGTGATGATACCAGATTTTCCCCACTGCTAATGGTTCAGGGGAAGAGGCTGGGATCAAAGCTTGTATTTATTGGCCAGCTGCTATAAGCCAGGCACATAAGTCAGCTCACTCACTTCCCTTAACGGCTATATGATGGTAGGAAATATCCCATCTACAGATCAGAAATCTGAGCTCACAGAACCCACCCAGAAGCACACAAGCAGTAAGGGAGAGAGACGGGACTCTAGGACCCAAAGCTCTTCCTCCACTGAAATTAAGCACTACTGAATTAACTTCAATCATCAACTTCTCAGTCATAGACTAATCAGTCCAAACAGATCAATGGGATGACTTCAGAAAAACTGTGTTTAACTAAACAAAACTGCAATTTCATGTATTGCCTAAACTCTATTTAAAAAAAAATAGGCTTAACAATTACCTCAAGTTCTTTCATACGATTTGCAGACTGACTGAGTGCTTCCTTTTTTGAATTAACAACTGTGAGCTCCTCTTGCAAATGAATAGCTTTTTCTGAAACAAAGAAGTTACCAATTAAATGTTTTTCCAGTGAATGCCAATTTAATTTCTGGCCAGTATGCCAGACCTAATGACCATTGTTTCATAATCTAAAATAGCAGATGTAGGAGCCAAGTATTTAGCAGGCACGTTGAGACATAAAGCTTACTATGCGATGGTGACCTGAAGTTAGTACTGTCCAATGTGCTACCCTGTAACTGGTTACAGTACATGGCCCTAATGCAGACAGTCTAATTTCCTGCAAGACAAGGGCTTGTTAGTATTTTGTAGTTTTCACTCCAACACAACTTTATGTAGAGATGTCATCAAAAGATAATTTGCTAAATGCATGATGGTACTAATCCACAAAAGGAATATTGGTTTCTGTAAGACAGTAATAAAGGAGCTGTTACACTTTGGGAATATGATTTACTCCCAAGCATCGGTCTTAAATTTCCACCAAAAGTTCAACTTTTTGTTACAGGCAATTACCTAGAAATACACTGAAATATAAAGTATCTGTACCTGATCTTAGCCAAAAGGCTGGGAAATGATGAAATGTAAAATATCTGAACACTAAAAAATTCCTCAACCTCCACAGTCTCAGGCCAATGTGTATGACAGTTTAGGAGCTTATATGTCGAGTAAAAATACCACGAAGCATAAAAATATATTACAAGCAAAAGAAAAAAGAAACTCAGTCACAGAGGACTGAGAAATTAAAATATAATTTCCCATTAGTAAAGGCTAAAGTCTTGCCAAGGGTGGTGGTGCACGCCTGTAATCTCACACTTAGAAGGTGGCGGCAGGAGCGCTGTGAGTTCGAAGCCAGCCTGGGCTATCTAGTGAGTTCAAGGCCAGCCAGAACTGCATAGTGAGACCCTGTCTCAAAACAAAACAAACAAACATAACCTAAAGTATCTTGTGGTTAAGAGTAGTATTTCCCAGACAGCAATATTTTACTACTACCTTCTTGATAATCACAGATGTATCTGTCAAACTATAATGAAATGAAGTTGGATAAATTACTGATAAGTCACTTGTCTTTGTGAATACAGAAGATGTTAAACATGAAGGGTTCCTTTTAAAGACTTAAAAAAAATTTTGTAAAATTTAAATCATAAGAAAATGGAAAACTAGAAATCATAAAAAGTTTAATCATAAAATTTAAAATCATAAAAAAATGTACTAGAGTCAAACTGAAGTGTAAGCTATACATTTTCTAGAATACAAAACAGATCCAACTTAGGAAGCTAGTAAGTTACTTCAGAACTGAAAAATACAGTTCCCCACCCCGAGCACCTTTATTCTTCCTTTCATCTTCAATCAGCCTATTAGTTCTAGTGATGTAGTCATCCTTTAGTTCAAGTTGATACCTGAGAATGAAAATGACTAAGAGTGAGGTCCTTGTCATCTTGCGGGAAAGACTGCTATCATTGCAGGACTCTACCCATGGCAATGCAACAGAGGGCCTGGGCATGACAATGCGCAAACTTTGAAGTTTCTCAGAACTGAGGCTGGGCACCTTAACTCTCAACATAAAATGTCTGAGAAAACTCTTTCCCTGCCTTGATCCTGTAAATTGGGACTCAGAAATCAACTGTACAAAATGAAGAGTGTTACCCTGAGGTCACTGAAAGCAATTATGTTTTAGCTGCTCTCACTGGCACAGAGAGCAAAGAAGTAAACTAAGCTAACTAACCCAGCACACCAGGGACTCTAAATCCCCCAGACCAACGTGGCAGTCACTTTCCATCCACTAGCCCCAACCCGGAGAAGAACTTTGCTCTTAGGCTCTAAGTATCAGGCTTTAAGCATCTAAATACTGACTACGAAGTAATGATAACCAGTGGCCAACAGCATTCCATCCTGCTCAGCTACACCAAAGGGCACATTTCACGGAGTTGTACTCATCCTCACCAGCTATTACCAATTGCTCTCCTGGTTCAGAGATGGGAGAAAGGAAAGACAAGCCCTTGGATGGGTGCTGTCCAAGTGCCCACACTTGCCAGTCATAAAACGTCTCCCAGGCCATGGAAAGCGTCAAAATGATACCAAACAGTTCACTAACCTCAGAACGACATAAAGCGAACATTCATTTTTTTACTCATTCAGTCCTAAAGGGTTAACACCTACAGTACTTCAGTGCTTCCCACTTTTGTAAAAGAGCAGACATAAAACATGTGGAGAAAATGTATCATTTCAAAATTGACGGGGCTTGGGGCTGGGGATTTAGCTGAGCGGCACAGCACCTGCCTGGCAAGCGCAAGATCATGAGTTTGTTTCCTGGTACCAGAAGAAAAACAATCAAAATTGACAGATGGAAAGCTGCTATTTCCTTTTTTAATATAATTCACTTAAGGAATAACCTCAAGAAGTCTTCTGAACTACTACATAATGGATAATCAATGACAAATTACAGGCAAGACAGTAGAAAGACCAATAATTATGAAATGCCTAGGGCAGCTGAGTTGAGTCATCTCCTCATTACACATTTATTTAAGAAATATTAACTGAGCAGTTATTTACTGCTATATGCAATGCTGACACCAAGAAAAGCTACGGTACAGCGTAATGTCCTTGCACTGAGATACTATTCCCCTGGTACACAAAATTCAGAGTATAAAAAAGCCAAAGTAACTGTAGCTGTCTGTATTTTCCTTTCCATATATCACCTTTGCTTCACACAGTTAATTTTAGTTCATTTCTTCTTATTTTGGCTTTGCAGAATCTTGAATACAAAGCACATAATCACGGACAAATACCATAAGTAGATAAATTATTCTAAGTAGAGTAATTTATAAATGCATCATTATTTTAGTGGCAGTCTGAGTGGAATAGAGGAAAAGATAACTAGAAGTGGCTATAATTCCAATTCTATAGCTCACGAACTATGTGAACAGAGCAAGTAAGTCATTAGGTGTCCTCAAAAGGAAAGCAAACCACAGGTTCTCAGTAACTGTGGGAGATGCTATGAGAAAGGGAGAAAGATACAATTCTCTACACCATATGTTTTATAACTGCCCTACCTCTAAGGACTACTGAATAGGTATTTTTTCAAACACAAAAAAGTCTTAGTGTTATCTATGTCACCAGCTCTTGTCACATTTCCACCAGCTTAATTCAAACACATTACTTCCTTAGGGGACCAAGAGGTGGAGGGAGGAGAGGGGAAAGGGACATAAAAAGAATGACGGTGTCTTACGAACACTGACCAATTTCCCACAGTGAACGTAAACATTATGTACTGCAATCATATACAAAGAAAAAAATTTTAAAAGTCAAACAATTACTTTACAAGTTCATTCTTGAGCTTTTGCTCGTAGGTCTCCTCAATACTCTCTATATTTTGCTCCCGTTTCCTAAGCGCCTCAGCCACGCTTTTATTTTTTTCTTCTTGGAGCCTCTGGGTCCTGAAATAAACAGAAATATACAAAGCAAACAATTTATAGTAACTGAGGTAAGGAATTGAAGGGAAAATAAGACATATTCATGGTTCAATGGAAGAATGCTGTTTTGTGATCATCACCTACTGGAAAGTAAAAGAGTGAGCCAGAAGTCCTCTCTCTACTTTACAAAATGACCTAGTCACAGTGTATCCACAACAGCAGAGGGAACTGGATAGAAGGGGGCTGATGGCGGGGCAAAGCAAAGACTTAAGACCAAAGTAGTTGCTTACTTCAGTTTAGGGGTGGGAGAATGATATTATTAGTTATAAAGTCCCAAAATTAGGGTCCTTATGTGCTTGTCTCCTCTATGCTAATGCTTCTAACTGCAGGACCTGAGCCATCAGTGCATACATAAAGAGTGGAAGGGTGGTTCTTATCATTTAATGATCTGTTAGTTGAATGGATTGAAAAGTGTCAAAACAGAGAGTAAAAGAAGACTAATCAGGGCTTTCAAATGCCAAAAAGCCCTCTCCTTCCTATACAGGTACTCAGCATGTCTTCATGGGTTCCTAAAATTGTTTCAGTTATGAGCCCGTGTTATTAGTCCATGTTCGCAGTACATAATGATTACATTCACCGTGGGGAGTTGCGCCAGGTACATAACACATCTGAATTCTTTTACTGCCTTTTTCCCTCCCCTTCCCTCCATCTCTTCTTCTCCTGCCCATTTGTAGAAGAGCTATCTCCCTGTTTCCTATCAGATCAACAGTTATGCCAATTCTCGAGCGGAGGCTGGGCTCACAGTTGCTGCTTAAATGCAGCCATCCTGAGAGGAACTACAGAACTGGGACCAGTCCGGGAACACAGCAAAGGCCCCACGCGCTTGCTCCCTCTGCTGGCTAATCTGGAAAGGCACATTTATTTCACTTTCATCGTCAGGAAGCAAGAGCAGGAGAGGAAGAGGAAGTAAAAAAGTGACAATATCGCCAAGAATTCGCTCTTCCCAAAATGTGCTCCTTTCTCTCTTGATCAGTTTGCCTCTTCATGCTGTCAAAAGGAGAGTAACATAGACACAGAGAGAAAAGCAAACAAATGAGCCTAAAGAAGTGAGAAAACGTGAATGAAGACAGAGACAATGTCTCTAATGTACTAAGGTTCCTAGAGTATCTATGAGTGTTAATTAATAGCAGATTCCAAATGGGAAAGAAGGCTTATCACACAAACTATTAATGGGTTAGCTTGCTGTCACCGGCAGCTAAGATTTGAAGGATGAAACACTGCACACTCAGAAAAAGTGAGCAGCACACGCTAGGAGAATCGCTTCCACCCATCACAAACGAAGCCAGAGCACCACACCTCGTTCCTAGAGCACACAGCAGGTGTAAACGTGCAAGCCTGGACAGGGGGAATCCAGCTACGTACATGATACTAATGGATCTGACTGACTGAGGGAAACTGCAAAACAGATGATTTGTCCAAGCTTCTCTCAATTATCTGTCTGGTCTTACCGTGCCTAATGATGAAGTTTCATTTTGGTTTTCATCTTAATTTCTAATTTTTCGCAAGCAAAATCCTAGGCTTTGTTTCTCTTATACCTTTGCTGTTGTTTGGCACTGGGAATCGAACTCATACTTTTCTAAGGTTACATGATATCACCTTTACAACTAAGAACTTTACTTGGCAACCAACATTAGGGTATTTAGACACATATTTAGTAAATCTTTTTCACCTCATTCTGAGTATTCGAAACAACCATGCATTACTTACAATTCAAAAGCTTCAACTCTGTGCTTCAGTTCTGCTTCTCTGCCTCTTAGCAAATCTATATCTTTCAGTAGAACCTGCCTTTGAGCATAGATTTCCTTTGTTTCAGTCTGTAGAGGAGAGCATTGACTCTTAGCAAGCAAAATAAAACAAAACAGGTTGGAACTCAAACGCTGCTTCTTAAATTCCAGACAACAATGAAAGTACAGACATTTAGGGTAACACGTTCATCTTTAAGAGATTTCAATTCAAGGCATGCTTTTGGTCTATTTTAATTGCACAAAAATTTATAACATTGTATAAAAAATTATTCCTCCAATGTCTACCAACCTTATTATCCTATATTCCTAACATCCCACCTAATGACTCTATTTAATTCTTTAACATCTCTCAATCCTTTAAAAGTTGTTAAGTCTATCAGCAAGAAAAAATTAAAATGTGCATTCAGCAATGAAACTCCAAAAGAACGAAAGGCCCATGGTGATTCCCTGGTGGTGGGAGAGGACGGATGTTTCAGTTCAGAGGCAATTCTGGGTCAGTGCAGGCAAGATCATATGAACTCCTGAATGAACAGGCCATCCTTCTACTTAGGAGTTCCCTGAGCAAGGATTTATTAGCTACTCAGCAAGGTATGCAACATACTGGGAGCTAGATATAAAAAGGTAGACATACAATCCCCATCTTTCAGGCTCACCTTTTGGTCAGGGAAAGAGAAACAAATAATTGTACTAAGATATAAGGATTTCATAAGCAAGCACATAAAGACTGCACACAGGAACAAGGTCTGAATGAATCGCTCCGTGGGAGTCAGGGAAGACATCCCCAGGGTGACATTCAAGCTGAATCCCTGCAGGCCAGTATGGTGTTCTCAGGAGGAGGGAGCAGGTGGGCACTGCAGGTGAAGGAACAGCGGCATGTTGCTTCTGATGAGGGTGCCAAGCCTCTTTAAAGCCATCACAAAATGTTAAGGGCATGGGGGCCTAGTCAGTCAGTCATCATAAAAATGAAGTTATTAGTCTATACACCATCCAGTTATCTCAAAGATCTGTGCTTCCAACATTTATTTGTATAGCTGAACTATAGAAGGGATCCATTTGCCTTGAAATACAGGGGTCCTGAGAAGCCCTAGGCATGGGTGGACAGTAGGGGAAGCTTCCGCCTTTCACACCTCCTGACAGCAGCAGCTCTGGGTGCACCCAGGAAACAGTGCTGCAGAGCTGGACGAACCTCTCCTGCGGACACACGCTTCCTACCACTTCTCAGCCTCTGCACTGCCTGTGCAGTCACTCCTTGGTGATGAGACTGAAGGCTCCCACAGACGAGCCTCCTGGTCCTGGACTCCGCTATCCCAGGGGCCCTCACCTTTGCTCACCCAGTGAGTGCTCGCTGCACTGTTTCCTCACCCCGAAACCTCACCCTTCACTCTGAACGCTTGGCCTACCCTTAGTTTTCTACCTGCCAGTCTCTCAGGGCCTGTTTCTCGGTCACTTCAAGATAGCCCTGCGGCCCTCCCTTATCCCTTTCCCCTCAGGTCAGGAGCCCACCACCTTCTCTCCTGCTTCAAGACCTCCCTGCGGCACCTAGCAGAGCACCAAGGTCTTCAATTTAATAGTTGCCTTTCCTCAGTCTGGGACATTAAGCTCTGCAAAGTCCCGCTCCGCAAGCACCTCTACTGTTCCACCCTGCTGAAAGGGCAGAATGATAAAGTGCTCACAAACTGCCAATCCTGCAGAGCTAGGAGAGAACCTGCCTCCAAGCACATGGCCTGGTCTCTCGCTTCCAGCCTCCAGCCTCAGCTGGGCCTTCCACCCGGCCAATCAGTCCTCTCTACACTGACGAACTGCTCACTCCTGGCCCACAGCCTCAGCTCTACACCTCTGAGCCTCTCCTCAGAACCCCCACTGACCCCGCCAAGCACCTGAGAAGATGGCGTCCACACAGTGTGTGTCTCTAATCTCAAAGCGGATGTTCAGCCCGCGGTTCTCTCTATCTATATGCTGGCCCCATCCCAACTGCTCCTCCAGAGCCCTGTTCCATCAACTGTCCCTTCCCTCGCCTGGATCTTGAACCAACCTACCAACAGCTGTAGGAACGAGCCACCCACTAAATTCTTTTCAAATATTACCTCCCGATGCTTTTGAATTCTTTCAAGGACATTCTTTTCCTGAGATAAGAGGGCTTCGGTTTTTGCTTTGCATGTTTTCGCAAACTCACGCTGGAACTCCGTTAATTCCTTCTCATACTTTCTTTTCTCTTCCCTTTTAATCTTTGCTATTTCAATATCTTTAAAATGCTTCAACTGCAAATTGAAAGTATAGTTACTATACTGAAGAAACAGTAACAAATTTTCCCTTCATGGTTAGGTTTAATATGAATGAATTGTCTAAATATATCATATTTAGTTTAATTCATTTATTCCATTCACTGTGCCTCTAGGGTTCAGCCAAAAGGCAAGAACAAATGACAAGTGGAAATTAAAATAACATGTAACAGTATAGAATCCCATTCTCTAAGAAAGGTCTTCCATGTTTTCTCATATACCTAAGATCAAGATATTGTATTAGAAGAGAAGCAAAATATCACTCTTGTTAACACTAACAAGAGATACAGCTTACCTTTTGACACATTTCTGCTTGAAGTTGTTGTTCTAGTTCATTCCTATATTCATTTAACTTTACTTCTAAAGACTCTAGCTTTGGACGCTGCGGATAAGCATCCGCAAATTGATCATCGATAAGCTGAAGCTTCTCTGCTATTAAGAAATAACACGTCAAATTAGGGTACGTAAACCTGGTCAGGTATGTAAGAGGCCAAAAGCAAAGAGTATGCTTGGAGAAAACTGTAGGGATATCTGCCATTTCCTTTGAAATTGATCAAAAAATTGACAAGGATTAATGAGTGGGCAGGTAAGGGATGAAGCCAATAGAATATGAATTTCATGGTAGCCTCAGGGATGCAAGTATTCACTGTAAGAACTGTTCTGTATATTTGAGAATGTTCTTAATAAAATGTTGTTGGGGAAACCAAAGAGTACACTTTAAATCAGAAATGACTAGCTTCTCTTCCCAGTCTCTGCCAAGGTATAGAGCTCTTTAAACTTAACTTAATATAATTATTTTAAAAGAATCAAAGATCAGGTATCTTAAACCCTCCATTTCTAGGTAAGGAACAAAATGACTTCCAGTGGGTAAAGCAACCAGAGTGCAACTGGGACTAAAGGAAAACCTGCTGACACTCAAGCCGGCACTCTTTCCAGAAGGCCTGTCACCCTCCAACCAACTATGGGACAGAATCAGCCGCAAACCAGAGTGCAAACCTGACTGGAGAATACAGTCCCAACCACAGATGGCACCAACAGCGAGAAAAGTATGGGCAGAGTAAAACAGGCTGGCAGAAGCAGACTAACAGCAACAGGTTTTCTCCTATAGCTGTCACTTTAGACGCAGGTTTCCAGCTACTTTTCTACGTTTTCCAAATGCTCTGTACCTGTGCAGTCCAACACAGGACTTTCTCATGTGGCCTCGGGGGACTGGAAATGTGACCGGCCCCAACTGGGATGGGCTAACCACAAAAATTACACCAAAGTTCACTTCTGGTACAAAAAACTAAATGAAATATCTCATTAATATTTTTATACTGAGTACATGTTGAAATATTTTGGGTATGTTGGGTTAGATAAAATACTATTAAAAAGAACTTCACCTGTTTCTTTTTACCTTTGTGGTGTACCTACCAGAGATTTTAAATGACTTACATGGTCAGCATTATAGGACAGCACTGATTTACAATAAACATGGAAATATTTTTTTTTTTGAGACAAGGTCTCATTATGTAGTCCAGGTTGGCCTTGAACTCACTATATAGCACAGTCTGACTTCACAGTGATCTTCCTGCCTCCGCCCACGAAGTGCTCCGATTACAAGCATGTGCCACCACGCCTAGCAACATGGAATATATTTCTAGTGGAATTAAACCTATGCTCAAAGGCCTAGCCATCTATTACAGTTTGTACAAATGATGAATTTCTTCTTACAAGTTAAAAGTACTATTATTATTTACAAATACGGACAGGCCAACAAGCTGATTAGGCACATCAGTTTAAATGGCACTTTTCCATCTCTACTGAGCACAAAATGCATGGTACTGTAGAAATCTTGCATAATTAAAAAAAAAACTGTACCCCATGGGCCAGAAAACTCAGGCTCCAATATTAATTCTGAGCTAGACTGGGTGTTTCCAAGCTGTTTTTCCTGTGAACCTGAGTTATATATGTTCATTAACTATAAAATGAAGCAACGGGCTAAGGACTTCTCTGCTCTTTGCAGAGCAATTACGTCTATGATATTCTACCTTAATGGCTGTAAAATAAAGTTTGCCAAGACACGAGGAAGAATGTTTCAGTCAGCTAGGAAGAATGCAGGCCTTGGGACCCCTGCATGATTTGGCCAGCGTAGCCCTGGTGAGGATGGAGAACAACACTGGAAAACAATTTGTGGTTCCAAGTTCCAGCAACGTAATTCCAGGAGAAATGAGTGTCCTTATCCCTTACAGATGGCTTCTCTCCAATTTGAGGAACCACCGTGATAAATGAGGCAATTTCCTGCATTCACAAAGAAACTGGAAAGCTGAAATTAGGCAAAAAACCCAGAGCTTTAATTACCAAGGGAGTCCTTGCTAGGAAATGTTGAACTTGTCTGAGTTTCCACATCACAGTTCTGCTTAGCTTGATGATATTCTGCCAATTCTTTTAAGAAATTCATGAGGAAACCTAAAATATACAATGTACATAGTTTTGTTTCAGATCATTTATTCAACCCTTTCTGTTACTATTTATACAATCTTGCTTTGATAACATTATCATTTTTTACATTATTTAAAAAGAATTCCTGAGGAAAGATCTTTCCAATGATACAAAACCTAGAAGGAATAGGAAGATTCATCAATCTAACCACACAGAAAAATAAAAACTTCTATGTGGCATGAAATAAAATCAAAAGACAAATGACACACTGGAAAAATACTTGCAAAAAATATGGACAAGAAGTACTAATTGTCATAATATCAAAGAGCTCTTAGAAAAACAGGAACAGACAAGGACAAACAGTTCACAGGAATAAAATTAAATGTCGAATAAACATGAAAAATATTTTTTAAATGTTGGATAAACATGAACAAAACAATAAATAAATGCAAATTAATACTAAGTACACAGACTGTATTTTCCCTATACCATTGCTGAAAATAAAACTTTGATAATACTAAGTTTTGGCGCAGGAGAGGGATGTAAGTATAGTCACTACTTAGAAGGGACATCTATCAGTGCTTATGTGTGTTCCAAATGCACATGTCCTGTATCCAAGTCCTTGTATTTCTACAAATTTACACAGTTGCACTTACTTTCACAAGGGCACAAAGGGTACATGCTACAGTGATCACCTCTAGTAGCAAAAGGCAAATAACTAAATTAAAAACATTCTTTAAAAATAATTAGTCTTTCGCAAATGGGAAGGAGATCAAAAAATGGGGTGAGGAAGTAAACGGAAGGGACATAAAAAGGGTTTTAACATGTGTTTAGTACATGGACCAGCTCCCCACAAAGAGTGTGATCATTGATACTATAAACATATACTAATAAAAAAATATAAAAATTTGTCTAGTCACCAGAGAAAGAGTTGAAAAGACTCCTGTTTCTGTATCGGCCAAGTCATAGGTCTTTTTTCTTTTCTGCTGAAGATTTCAAAACTCTTTCCCACAATTTCGGCTTCCCTTCCATGTGCAAAATTACACAGCAACCTCACACCTGCCCCTGGGAAGACACCAGTCCCCTATGTTACACTGCATGCGAGCTGCACAGTGACAGACAGGAGCACCTGCACAGAATATCCCCAATCAGAATGATTTCTCCCCAGAAATTCTAGGTCAGTTGTTTCTTTGGCGGTAACTTTTTTCTTTTCATAGTATGTACAAGATTAACTTTTTAAAATTTTCTGACACAGAAGTTTAATATATCTATGTTCACTGATTTTTTTCCCCTAAACATAAAGCCTTCTAAATCTTAACCTAAACCTAAAACCTAACCTAACCTAAATCCTAACCTAAACCTAAACCTAAACCTAAACCTAAACCCCTCTAACCCCAAAATATCTTTATCTCAGGAAAGCTTTCTTCCACTAAAAAAATACGGACTGATCATCAGAGACATGCTTCTCCGCCTAAGCATTTCTAAGGTTGTTCCCAGCCCTCAGTTCCAGGATCATAATTTTTCCCAGCCCCTAAGAACACCCTCTATTCCCTCCCAACACATACCCCACCCCACCTCTGTGAAGGGTTCACCTACCCGCTTCCATTCACTCATTTGATCATTTACTTCTATCAGCATATTTTGTGTTATACTGTGTACTTCTATTTAGATAAGCCAATTATTTTATTTTGTTGCACCAACTTGTTCCAGCTTTGGCCTCCGCGAGCTCTTTGTGGAATTTTCTTAAAGCACTTCCTTACGCTCTGGCATTACAAGATGCCACAAGCTCATCTTGTATATTCTCTGCCTGATTCTAAAATCAACTGCTCCTCCAAGGAGTCCTGGTTCCTTTTATTTCAGAATGTGAATAGAAACCCAGGCCGGGCATGGTGGCGCACGCCTGTAATCCCAGCACTCCGGAGGCTGAGGCAGGAGGATCGCTGCAAGTTCAAGGTCAGCCTAGACTACAAAGTGAGCTCAAGCCCAGCCTAAACTGCATAGTGAGACCCTGTCTCAAAAAAACAAACAAAAAAATAAATAAATAAATTAAAAAAAAAAGAAACCCAAACTTTCCCAAACAGGGCACTAATGGACTCACTGCTACTGAAGTATCTGCTTTTAGGGGCCTCTCAGGTAACAGAGCAAGGAGATAAACGTAAAATACAGCACTAATCTGTGTGTATACACATACAATACCTCTGTTCATGAACGCTTCTGTTTGCGAACAATTCAGTTCACAAAGTAAAGCATTCGGCCTGCTTGCGTTCACAAACTCTGCATTGTGTGACAAACAAAACCACAGCCATCTTCCCCACACAAACACTAATGCAGCCATCTTCCCCGAAATCGTAAAACAAATTAAGTCATAAACCAAGGTACCACTATATCTATAGATACTTCTATATATAGCATCTATATGTTACATAAACATGAATTCATACTGATCTCTCCAACTAGTCTTTTACCACATGGATCATTCTAGCCTCTTTCCTTGCTTATCTATCAATTTCCATTCAAACAGTAAAGCCTAGCCCTTATCATCTTCTGCCCACTGACTGAATTTTCAATTCCAGTATACATGTATATAAAGGCTCTGGGACTGGCAGCCAGTCTTAGTTGGCCTGGCACTCCCTTTCCCCCGCCCCTCAACCTGAGGACATTATGGCTACACCGTTTTGTCACAGTCTGCATTCCATCCGGGATCACCAGGCCTACCAGATTTGCATTCAGGTTTGCTTTATGTGGTAAAATTCCCTAGATTTTGTGTCCTGTAGCCACCACTGCAGTATCATACAATATATTTTCACCATCTTAAAAACCCCTGTGCTTCACTTATACAACCTCCCCACCCACTTCTACAAATCCCTGGATTCATTTATATTTTACATGGCCTAAAGGGCACTCCTGAGAGATAAGTAATGTTATCTCGTATGGATGGGCCACAGCTTGCTTGTCCATTCACCTACTAAAGGATATCTTGGTTGCTCCCAGTTTATGGTAATTCAAAATACAGTTGCCATATATATTCAAGCGCAGGAGTTTGTGTGTATGTGTTTTCAAGTCAGTCATATAAACATCTAGGAGCGTAATTGCTGGGTTTATCGTATGACTGACTACATTTAGCTTTTTAAAAAACTACCAAACCCTCTCAAATGATTCTGAACTTCCATCGGCAGTGAATAAAAGCTTATTTTGCTCTGTACCCTTACCAGCATTTATTGTCACTGTTTTGTATAAATTTTTTTTTTTTCCGGTACCAGGAACCGAACTCACGACCTTGCGCTTGCCAGGCAGGCGCTTTGCCACTGAGCTAAATCCCCAGCCCCTATTGTCACTGTTTTGAAAGTTAGTCATTCTAAAAGTTAAGTAAGCCGGGCGCAGTGGTGGTACACACTTATAATCCCAGCAGTCAGGAGGCTGAGGCAGGAGGATTGTTGCAAATTTGAGACCAGCCTGGGCTACAAAGTGAGCTCAAGGAAAGACTGAACTGCATAGCAAGACCCTGTCTCAAGAAGACAAAAAAAATTTTTAAAAAGGTATGTAGTAGTAATTATATGTTTTAATTTTCATTTCCCTAATGACTGATGATCTTGAGCATCTTCTCATATGCTTATTAGCTGTCTGTAGATCTCTCTTTTTTTTTTTCCTGCAGTATGGGGATGGGTGTAACCACTGCTAACTATGCTATTTTTTCCACTTATGAAAATTTCAATAAGGAAGTATCAGAGAGGTACATCATCAGCCCTTTTCAATTTTATTTTGAGAGAGGGCCAGGATCTAACTAAGTTTACCTTTCTGGCCTCTGACCTCAGTCTCCAAGAACCTGAGATTAAAGGCATACACCACTGAACTTGGCTATCATCTTTCTACCTTTTTTAGAAAATAATCTGTTCAGATCCTTTGGTTGTTCTAAAATTAGGTTATTCATCCTTTAGTGTTGAGTTTTAAAATTTCCTTGCCATTCTGGATGCAGTTCTTTAATAAGATGTTTTGTAAAATTTTTCCCCAGTTTGTAACTTGAACTTTCATTCTCTTAACAGTGTCTTTCACGGAACAGATGTTTCTAACTTTAATACAGTCCCACTGTTGTACTTTTTTCCATTATATATTATGTTTTTGGTGTTATTTAACTCATCGCAAAACCCAAGGCCATACAGATTTCCACCTATGCTTTAGTGTAGAATTTTATAGTTTTACAATTTACACTTAGGTCTGTGGTTTATTTTGAGTGACTTCTTCTGTTAGGAGCAAAGTCTGTAATCTAGTTTCATTTCTGTGCATATGAATCTCCAATTATTTCTGTACCATTTGTTGAAGAGATTATCCTCCTACCATGTAATTGCCTTTGCAATTCTGTAAAAGTTCAGTTGAATGTATTTATGTGGATCTATTTAGTTTTGGGCACTTTTGCAAATCACAAGGAAGGATTTTTAACTTCTAGAATGCAAGGGGCCAAGGTCCAAATTCTCTACCCATAATTTTCTGGGCATCATTACATTGAATGGAAAAATTAGAGGTGGAAAGAATGGGTGAGCAGAATCTAGGAGAAAGACTATGGCCATTCAACAGATTAGCACTATCAGAGTAAAGATATTATAAAATAAGACTACAGGTCTGATTCAGGGGATACAAAAGTGAGGTACAAAATATTTGCCTATCTGTTATCTCTTTTGTTTTTAAGGCAGGATTTCCCTATATATTCCTGGCTGGCCTTCAGCTCACTGTGTAGCCTATAGGGTCTGGAGCTCACGATCCCTCTGCCTCAGCCTCCTGAGGGCTGGAATTAGAGACATGTGCCACCATGCCTGCTCTTATTTATTTTTTGATGGTCTCAGTCTCTTAATTGGAAGCTACCAATTTTTAGTATTATTTTAACGGTAGCTGTTTTATTGTTAGCGAAGAGTTCCATCCAAATTTTGGCACTAGGATACTTGTCGTATTACCTACTCATAGTTCTTCTGACTTACAGAAATTTTACTCAGATGCTGTGTGAAAGGGGTAAGGGCTGTTAGATATCTTTCTCAACTAGGAGGCTTTAAGGAGACTGTGCAAAGATGAAAAACCTTTTAAGGATAATATAAAGGCCTGTAATAAGTAGATTATTTCTCAACATCCCTTCAAATCCCAAATTTCCTTCTCAAATAATAAAGCAACAGATATTAGCTATATACCTTTGGACTGTGCTGTCCAATGTGGTTAAATTTAAATTAAACTAAATTAAAAATTCAGTTGTACACTAAGCCACCTAATCTTTGATAAAGGCGCCAAACAAACTCACTGGAAGAACGATAGCCTCTTTAATAAATGCTGCTGCAAAAACTGGCTTGCCACCTGCCAAATACTGAAAATAGACCCAAGTCTATCACCATGTACCAAACTCAAGTCAAAA